AGTGCTTTGGCATGCTATGCTTTTGGACGACCGGTTTAGGTAGAAGTTTCTTCTGCGCTATCTTGCCGAATGAGAGCGATGACAGCTATAGATCTGCTGTGGGAGCCATGAAATCTATATGCCCAGTCTTTGCACAATGCAAGACCGTAGTAGTTGATCGTAGTTTGGCTCAGTATTAGGCGTTTTCAGAATATTTTCCTTTTTCTAATGTGGTATTCTGTCGTTTCCATCTGGTTAAGGATATGAAGAAAAAACGTAACCAGCTATCTAGTACGCCAACGTTTTAAAAGCAGCGCATATTTCAATGGATGCGGAACATGGTGTACTGTGATAGTAAAGTACCGTTTCGTAGGTTCCTGGCTGCCGTAGAAGGTTCTAGCCCTGAAGCAGGTGTTTATTTACGCCGAACTTTGTTACCATACCGAGAGCAGTGGGTAGGGTATGTCGCAAGGACTAGGATGACTTTAGAAAACCTAACTACCAACCGAGTGGAAACGAAAATTAGGCACCCCAAGACAGACTTGTTTCCTCGGTCTTCATTAGTGGATGTATTAAAGAAAGTGCTACAACGAGTAAGGTCACTGGAAGTGACGCATGGAAATCGGCTAACTAAACATTCCATGAGGGTGTATCCGACACCCAGCGGTTTACAGTCGTTCAAACCGTTGTTCAGATGAGTAACACCATTTGCGCGGAATATATTATTAAGTAGCTGGAAGTCACGTAAGATTGAACGAATTGTTCACGAGAGAGGGTTCTCCACGGTCGTGGATAGTAAGGGCAAGGGTGATAAAGTAGTTACCGCAAAGGAAACGATGTGTGAGTGTTATTTCTATGCGCAATGGTTGTTGCCCTGCTTGCATATAGCCAGGATATGCGATCGGATTAATTGGGATTTTCAAAGTCCTATTCCAGATAGGTGGATTATAAACCGCAGTGAAAAGCAAAGATCAAAACTTCACTGTGGTAATAGCGGCCTCAAGAAACGTCATGGGTAAGCAATGAAAGTTAGATCAGACAGGCGATTTCCCTCAGGAGATGGGCGTCTCTTTCAATAGTTTAGGTTTAGTGAATTACAATTTTCAATGCTATCAACTTTGACATGCAACAGCTATGATAGGGAAGTATCCGGACATCCAGATATTATTTGATAGACAAAGCTTGGCAGCACAGACTACGGAGATTAAGCCTACCTGTCTTTCGTCTACAAGCGTCAAGCTGAGAACAAATAATCCACCAGTAGCTTCAACAAGCGGTTCGATTCAAAAGTGGAAATCAGTTTTGGTGTGTCAATCAGTCGACAGTGATGACGACGAAAAGTGGCCCACTGGAACATGCTGTGTTCCGAAGACTGACNAGGCCAACTGTTACAGTGCCTGCGAATCTGTGTGCAATACGGTTGATTCGGACGATCAGCAACAATGGATCCAGTGCCGGAAATGCGGGCGCCAAACACACAGCTGTTGCGCTGCATACAATGGAGAGGAAGCATAGGTTTGTGTGTACTGCCTCAGTCGATGAGCTTGGACGTCAAAAGGCCGAAGTGACTGAAAACGGCCCTTTTAGGGCCACGCCAATTTGATTTATTTGTATTTGGGTTATTAATTCTTCTCAGGGCCCATTATATCGGCGTAGATTCCATTTGAGATCGGATGTTGTGGGGGCAAAACCTATTTCGTTTCCGAGCCGATTCCCAGGTGGAATGAACGCGTGGATGAGAGAAAATTGGGAGATTAGTCAAAGGTCACGCGGTTAGGAGACTTTCATGCTATGCCCATGAAATTATCCATAGCATTGCCGAACAGGTAATAACAGTCCCCGTCGAGAGAGTCAGTTTGTATCAGAACAGTATTTAGAGTAGCTTTTGACAGTTATATAGGAGGTGTAGTTCTTATTGATGGAGTTTAGCTCGTTTTAAAATTTCACTATGGGACACTTCGACAGCTGACAAAAAGTTAGTTTTATTTCGTATTCGTCGATGATCTTAGGCTGAAAGTTTCAGAATAATATTTAGAATAGCTTTTCATCGTTATATGGTAGGTGTAATTCCTAAAGATTTGGTATTGCTAGATTTCCCTTCCGAGAACTCGTTCATTTATATTGACGAATAATAATCTTTTTTAAGTTTAATAAATTTTCCTTTATTCTTTTGTTTTTTGCTGCCTTTTTGAAATCGGCGTTATGTTTAGGGTCTGTAATAAGCGAAATAGTTTTTGAGGAGCAGTGGTCTCCAGTTGGGATTTTTTCATGGCTTGGAGAATGAGGATCGATCAAATGACCCTGAGCGTTTTGAATTCAGCCGCGTTTGGACGCTGCGCGCTTATCACTACTTAGGCACCTAGGCATTCACCGCGTCCAGACGACCGCTTACCACCCGGCAGCTAACAGGATGGTGGAGCTTTCTCATCGACAGCTGAAAAGTGCTCTGGCAGCACAGGCGAACCCAGACTGGAAGGAGTCTCTACCCTTAGTCCCCCTTAGGTTGTAGGTCAGCCGTCAAAGCTGATCTGCAGCCCACACCGGCAGAGTTGACCTTCGGTCGTACATTGCGTCTCCCAGGAGAAATGGTAGCACCGACCCCACCAACTGCCTTCAACTACGGTACCTATGCTGCTCGTTTAGTAAATCGTATGCGACAGTTACGTATTTAACCACCTCGTCAGGAAACAACCGTAGCCTACCTCCCCCCTAGATTAACCCAAAGGTAGCATGTTTTTCTCAGGGCAGAGGTTTGCACACCACTGCAACATCAATACAGCGGCCCATATAAGGTACTGCGACGCTTGGAGAAAGCTTACGTAATAGAGCGCAACGGTAAACGTGAGACCGTCAGTAT